TTCTCCAAGTACTACACTCCAGTGCTGGGTGGGTACTGCCCCAGGACCCTGCCGGCTGACTCCCCCGGGCTCTTCCCCAGCCCATAGACAAAGCCTTGGGCTGCGCCGTGGGGACTCCCCAGGAGGAGCCCAGGGGCCATGTCCCCTGTGGGTTTTGGCCCATGGGGTGACGGAGAGGACTTCAGGGCTCACAAACGAGAGGGAACGACAAACCTGTCCCAGCTCTCTTCTCTGCAAAGTGAAAGCTGCATGGATTCTCACTTCTGCACACTCGGAGGAAAGGGTGGCAGTGCTGTAGGGAGTGGCCGGGATCATTCGAGCCCACAGATAGTGCTCTGCTCCCCACCTCACCAGCTGCTGTCTCCACACCCTGCTCACAAACCTTCCCCCGAGTGGAGTGCAGGCAGCAAAAGGGAGAAGTCTCTTTTCTTCCAGCTGCCCCAAATCCATTGGTTGGGTTTGCTTGTTCATTCTCTTTCTTTGACGGGTGGGGGCAGGGAGAGGGAAAGCAAATGGCCAGAAAAGGAACCAGGAGAAGGGATGGGATTCAAGCCAGGGGTCTCAGTGACCCTCAGGCAGGATTCATCAGCTGGTGTTTACTGGGGGCCCTTGGGAACGCTCATCCCAGCTGAGACCACAAGGTGATGTGGGCAGGAGGGAGACTGCATGGGGCATGGACTTCTACCCCACTTGGGAGTTCCCAGGGACTTTGGTTCTCACTGCGGTTCTCCCCTTGGCAGCTAAAGCTGTTGATGGATACGTGAAGCCACAGATCAAGCAAGTGGTCCCTGAGTAAGTGGCCAGGTGGCTCTGGCCCTCCTTCTGCCTCTTTCCTCCTTCCCCAGACCCTGCCTCCCACCCTGATCCTGGGCCCAGCTTTCTGCTCCCCCAGGAAACCTGTCTCAGCCCTGGGGAGGGACCTGGGCTTGGTCACGCTGTGCCAGTACCCGAGTGCCCACTCCTGTAGCTGGAGCTCCAGGGCCAAGTGGGCACTTTGTCCTTCTACACCCCGAGAAAGACAAACATGCCCCTCGGTCCCCTCCCCGTCAGCTGTCCCGGCCTCCCAGGCGGCTGAAGCTGTTCTCTTCCTTCTGCAGGTTTGTGAACGCATCTGCAGATGCCGGGAGCGGCAGCGCCACGTACATGGACCAGGCCCCCTCCCCAGCTGTGTGCCCCCAGGCTCACTATAACATGTACCCACAGAAGTAGGTGGCGTTCTCATGGGGGTCCACAGGGGAAGAACTGGGGGCTTGGCCCCAGGCTGGACCCCTGGAGGGCTGGTGGGCAAAGGAATCCAGAGCTCTGGTTAAGCCCCGGTCCAGGAGGAGTGAGATCAGCCAGGAAGACAGAGCATTTTGAAGCTAGACATAGCAGGGTCCAGTCCTCACTCTAGTACCAACTGTGCAATCTTGGGAAAATGATTGAGCCTCTCTGAAGCTCAAGTTTCCTTACGTGTAAAACGGAGGCAAGAATGCTTGCCTCATGAGAACGGGAGGAGCATTAAAATGAGACACTGTGGGTGAAGCATTTCCACAGGGAGGGGCTTGGAAGGGCTTGATACAGGGTAGCTGTGAATGGGGTGGTTGTTCTTAAGAGTCTGGTGGGAACAAGGTAGAGAATTAATTCCCTTCCTCACTGTGGATGGCCAGGGCTGGATGTCTGGGAGGTACCACCTTCCAGTGGGACCACTGAAGATCCCAGGTTCCAATCCGGAGTCCACCACCTCCCAGCCAGGTGGCCCAGAGCAAGCTTCCTGACATGGCCTTGTTTCCTCGTCTATAAAATGGGGTCAATACCCACTCTCCAGGTGGCTGTAAACATTGGAGTCATGTGCTCAGTAGGCTCAGCCATTCTAGGTGCTCAGTGAAAAGGCTCAGCCGTTCTAGGTGCTCAGTGAACGGGGCGGTGCCTACCACGCAGCTGAGCATAATTGCAGGTGGGCAGAGCCCACTGTGTCAGTCACCTGGTTTTACAGATGAGGACAGGGAGAGGGGAAATGAATTCCCTAAGATTATTCAGTGAGTTAGCAAGAGATGGGAAGAGAGTGGGGGTCTGCAGAAGCCAGTGGGCTGACTGCTACCCAGCTCAGGGTGGGGTGGGGGCATCCAGCCAGAACTGGTCCTGTTCTCATGAGACGAGTTTGAGTGGAGAGCAGGCTGGAGGCTGTCCCCAGGGAGCCTGAGGCTGTGAGAAATGCCAGCTCCCTCTGACATCCCCCTCTCTTTACCAGCCCTGACCCTGTCCTTGACCAGGATGGAGAATTCGACCTGGATGAGACCATGGATGTGGCCAGGCACGTGGAGGAACTCTTACGCCGACCGATGGACAGTCTTGACTCCCGCCTCTCGCCCCCTGCCGGTCTTTTCACCTCTGCCAGAGGCTCCCTCTCATGAATGTTTGAATCCCACGCTTCTTTTTGGAAACAATATTCAATGTGAAGCGTTCGTGTGGTGAGCTTAGTATGGCTGTGTACACCGACACCTTTGCAGGCATGCATGTGCGTGTGTGTCCTTGTGCATGAGCTACGCCTGCCTCCCCTGTGCAGTCCTGGGATGTAGCTGCAGCAGTGGTGGCCTCTTTTCAGATCATGGCATCCAAGAGCGCGCCGAGTCCGTCTCTGTCGTGGTAGACACTGAGCCTCTGTCACTGCAGGCACTCAGTGCAGTCAAACCTATTCCTTCTGTGCCCTTCATCTGCTCAGCAGCTATTTGAATGAGATGATTCAGAAGGGGAGGGGAGACGGGTAACGTTTCTAAGCTTAAGTTTCACTCCGGAGTGAGAAGCTTTGCCCTCCTAAGACACGGGGCGGGGGTGTGTGTGTGTGTGTGCGCGCATGTGCGTGTGCATGTGTGCGCGTGTGTGTGTCTGTGTAAATGCATCTGTCCTCATGTGTTGATGTAACCGATTCATCTCAGGAAGGAGGCTGGGGTTCATTTTTGAGTAGTATTTTATACTTGAGTAAATGTGGACTCCAGACTCTCTGTGAACCCTCGGAGAGCGCGTCTGGGCCTGGCCATGTCCTTAGCACAGCAGGGCCGCTGGTTTGAGTGAGGGTTTCTGAGCTGCTCTGAATTAGTCCTTGCTTGGCTGCTTGGCTGCTTGGCCTTGGGCTTCATTCAAGTCTATGATGCTGTTGCCCACGTTCCGCGGGATATATATTCTCTCCCCTCCTTGAGGCCCCAGCCTTCTTACCTTGCCTCTCTGTTCGTAACTTTGTCTATGAAGAGGAAGGAAAGATTGGGTCTAGGATATGGTGGGTGGACAGGGGCCCCGGGACTTGGAGGGTTGGTCCTCTTGCCTCCTGGAAAAAAAAAAACTGCAGTGAAAGACAAGCTGCAAATAGCCATGTGCTGCGTGTCTGTGGAATCTGGAGTGAGGGGTAAAAGCTGATTTGGTTTGACTCCGCTGGGAGGTGGGGCCAGGCCTTGCGATGTTGCGTAACTGGCTGTGATCTGGGAAGGCCTTGCTCCTAACCACACACGCTCCTCCCTCTGAGGCTGTAGGACTCGCAGCCAGGGGCAGCTGACCATGGAAGATTGGGAGCCCAAGGTTTAAACTTCTCTAAAGGGAGGTGGGGATGAGAAGAGGGATTCTTTTGTACTTTGTACAAAGACTACACATTTGTGTAAACAGTGTTTTGGAATAAAATATTTTTTTCATAAATTTGCTGCTATGGCTCCTGGTTGGGGCGTTGGTGGCCTCCCTGGGTGATGGGAACCCCTGGAGCTGGGTTGTTCTGTTCCTTCCCCCGTGCATGCCTGACGCTGTCATTTTTAGTCTTAAATTTTAACTCTGCCCGACTGTCAATGCTTCTCAGAGGGGTAAGGGGCCAGTTTAAGGGGCACAGATTCCCTAAAATGCAGGGGACTCGAGGTTTGGGGAAAAGATGGAGATGGGCACGGGTGGGCAGAACTCTGACCCAGGCCTCTCCTTAGCAGCTGCTGCTCCCAGCAGCCTCGAAGCTGGCGGCTGAGGGCCCGGGGCCAAGATACTTCTCAACCCTCCAGGCCAGGGGCAGTCCCAGAGCCACAACGTCCCATCCTCCTCCTTCCCAGAGACCAGCAGGTGGCACCACGCGGCTGCGTTGTTTTCAGCTGGCTGCCGGCGACTGTGTGAGGCGGGGGTGCAGGAGGGGGACTGGCTCGCCCCGGCTGGACCCCCGCGCCGCTGGCTGCGGCCAGTCTCTGCTGTCGCTGGGGCCCTTGGGCGCAGGAACACGCACTCCCCGGGCGGGGCTGGGAGCCAGGTTTGCGGGCAGGTTCCTTCTGAGCTCAGAGCTCAAGTAAGGGAGGGGGGCGGCTCGTGGGCCCCAGGAGGGAGGCGCAGGGGGCCCAGAGCAGGGGGCAGGCGGGGGTGGGAGAAGGGAGGAGGGGAGGGGAAGGGCAGGTGCCACCGCCCCACCGGGCTAATCTGCTCCATCTCTGCAAGGGAAGGCGCTAGCTCCTAGCTCCCAGGCGCGTCTCCAGGGCGCTGGGGCATGTGTAGGGGTGGGGAGAAGCCCTGTGGGTGCCCGTGTAGCTGAGATCAGAGCGCCTTTCCCTGCATTATCACCGCTGGCTGCCTGGAGGCCCTGCAGCCACCACCGGGTGTCTGCCTGTTGTCCCCACTCGGTGAACTGAAGGCAAAGTGATAAAGGAGCCAACTGTGGAAGGGGAAGCCTTGGTGCAGTGGGAGTATCTAACCCCCAACCCCGCTTAGGTGGCTTATCTGACTCCAGACAGGACGAGGCCGCTCTAGGGGGTAGGAGGGGGTTGGGGAGGGAGGCCTCCACTCTTACACCTTTCTGCTGTTGGACTATTGACCTCCTGCTCCTCCAGGCACCCCTTACCTCCGGGCTGGTGGCTAACATAAGGGGATGGGGTGGGGGACTAAGGCAACCACCTCCTCTCAAGACCCTTTCCGGCCCCCATCCCAGGCCCCGCCTGTGTGTGAGGCCTCCTCAGAACTTAGGCAGGGGAAAAGGAAGCCTCCACCAGCCAGACAGAGCTGCCATGCTATCAGACGGTTCCTATATAACGTTTATTTCTGGAAGTTAAAGTAGATACAGCAATATACCAAAAAAAAAAAAAAAAAAGACAAAAAACCCCACAATAATATAAATTTTTACACTATGAAGTACACATTGGAATTTGAATGCAGTGGCCAGGACAGCAGCTTATAAACCACCTTATAGGTAGGTAAGCAACCCACGGGATTCCCTCAGCTGGGCTGGGGACGGGCAGGAGGGCAGTGGACAGGAAGCGGGCAGGGCCTGAGGACCCTGTTCTTTAAGGGGCCAGAACAAGGCTCAGCTCCTCTCAGAACTTTTGCTACAATCAGAGTTAAGACCAGATACACATGCTACCTAAGGCCATGAACTTCATAATATCTGCTCCAGAGAAGCCCGAACCCTTTCCCGAGGTCCCTATGATTTAAACCCAATGGTAAGCCCAAGACTCACCTTCCTAAATATTCTCTCTGTTTATCAGTTAAGCTTATTATGTACTGAAGAGTGTTGCTGGAGAAGCGAGAGCTCTGCAAGACACATCAACTGTCTCCAGGCAGGAGGACTGGGGCGAACCCGGTTCATCTTAGAGAAGGTCCTCTCCCACTTAATTCAGAGACCAGCTAATTTGATCTAACAATCAGAATTCTACAGAAACTCTGATCAGCTGAGGCAAGGTGGTTTTGAGTCGCCAAATTCGGCCATGCCTCTGGGTCAGAGGCAGCCCACCCAGCACGTGCTAGGTGTTCCCATACGCACAGGAGAGGCAAGCTAGCTGGCCAAGGCGGGCAGACAGGGAGGCCCTCTACCTGTTCTGTCTCACCTGTGGGGCCCCAGCAGGGAAGAGTCACCAGCCTCAGAGGGAGGCCAGCTATAACCCTCATACGAGGGCAGACTCAAGTTTATCAGTAAGCCTTTGCCCTGCCTGAACTGACTGCTGGAAATCACCAAGAAACTGGGCTAAGAACCATATTCCCTGAGCTCAACCAGACACGTCGCTGGGGCCCCATAGTCTGCATCATATCCAACTGGTAACTTTCTCCCCCTCTTCTTCCATGAGGTCCTGAGACCAGGATTCCTAAAACAAACAGGACGAGGGACCTTCAGACATGGGAGGAGACATGCCACTAGCAGGGTCAGGGGAACTGGGGTCGGGAGGGTGGGGCAAGAAGGAAGCCCAAATCAGAAGTATCCCAGCCCTGATAAGGCACCCACAGAAACAACCTAGCCTCTGAAACAGCAGATCAAGTCCAGGGAGAAAGGGAGTCAAGGTTGTAAGCACCCTCTGCCCAGCCTTACCCACTAAAAGACCAATACATTACAAAGGAAAATAGAAGTCTATTTATAAAAAAAAGTCTAAAATGCTTAGATTCTCCTTAAACCTTCCTATTTCAACATCAAAGGCCAGGCTGCAGCTTCAGATGTCTTTTAAGGGTTTGACCTGAAGCCTGTTTCAGGGGTTATATAAATTATCAACCTGAAGGAAGCTGAATGCTTAAAGCACCAAGGAGGCTGTTAACTGAAGTTTCTTTTTCTTTTCTTTTTTTTTTGAGATGGAGTCTCACACTGTTGCCTGAGTTGGAGTGCAGTGGTGTGATTTTGGCTCACTGCAACCTCCGCCTCTTGGGTTCATGCCATTCTCCTGCCTCAGCCTCCCGAGTAGCTGGGACTACAGGCACCCGCCACCACGCCCGGCTAATTTTTTGTACTGTTAGTAGAGACGGGGTTTCACCGTGTTAGCCAGGACAGTCTTGATCTCCTAACCTCATGATCCACCCACCTCGGCCTCCCAAAGTGCTGGGATTACAGGCGTGAGTCCCTGCGGCCGGCTGCTGAAGTTTCTTAAATACAGAAAGGCTATGCTGAAACAGTGTTTTTTGCCCTTTAATTGTTCTTATTTCTTAATTTAAAAAGAAACCTAGGGCTCAGATAGTCCTATCTTCTATTTGGATGTCAGCAAGGTTAAAAAGTGCAATGCCAGGAGTATGTAGCTACAGGTGGCCTGTGGCATTTGCTTACAGAAACAGGCAGAAGGATGCCGCGGGCACCAGGAGGCACTTGTCTAAGAACAACAACAACAATAACAAAAAGCTGCTGAGAAAGGAGGGCAGGGGAACAAAACAACACAAGACATTTCCTTTTTCTCCCTCTAGCCACCCCCCGCCACATCCCCCGATCACGGGTCTCAGAGAACACATCCTTATTTGCATTTACATAAAAGCAGATCACCCACATTCACTCATTTCTCTATTTTTAAAAGTGCCCAGATTGCTCAAAGATAGCAGAAGTAGGAGATTAAAAAAAATCTGGAACCACAAAGTTAGTAGTTTCAGGTGATCTGGGGTTTGGCTGTGTGAGGGGTGGCGGAACACAGGTAGGCGCCTCAGTCGTATCTTTTGCAGCTTCCGTTCTCAGCTCCTCACATGGGGGAGGTAGCACACTCCGAGGTCAACTCCATGTCAAAGGTGAGGGACTCTGGAGGGACAGACAGGGAAAACTAGTTCAGTTGTCCACCCTCTGCAACTGGCAGGCCACGCCCCCAGCCCTTCAGAGGATAGGACCCAGGCTACAACTGCTATCCAATCTCCTGTCCCTTAGGGCCCAGGGATGGTCAGAAAAGCCAGATTTACTCTCCTCCCTAGAGGACCCTGCCTCTGGAAGGGCCCTTTCTCCTTCCTCCCTTAACCAATTCCCAGATCTCCATGTTTACAGAAGATCTAAGGCTGTCCTTAGATCTTCTGCCCTTGATCTACTGTTTAATTCAGGAGCCCCAAGACACATGTGGCCACCAAGCATTGGAGATTTGGTTTGTCCAAACTGGGCTGTGCTGTGGCTGTCAAAAGCCCACCGGATTTTAAAGACTTAGTATGAAAAAAAGAGTAAAAAAAAGGTCTCAACTTTTTCTTTTCTTTTAGTTTAGTTTTGTTGTTTTGAAACAGAATCTCACTCTGTCACTCAGGCTGGAGTGCGGTGGCACGATCTCAGCTCACTGCAACCTCCACCTCCCAGGCTCAAGCAATCCTCCTACCTCAGCCTCCCCAGTAGCTGGGATTACAGGCATGTGCCACCACGTCCAGCTAATTTTTGTATTTTTAGTAGATATGGGGTTTCACCATGTTGGCCAGGCTAGTCTTGAACTCCTGACCTCAAGTCATCCACCCGCCTCAGCCGCCCAAAGTGCTGGGATTACAAGCGTGAGCCACCCACCCAGCCTCAACTTTTTCTGAAATGTTAAATTTTTTTTTTTTTTTTTGAGAGGGAGTCTCGCTGTCACCCAGGTTGGAGTACAGTGGCGTGATCTCAGCTCACTGCAAGCTCTGCCTCCAGGGTTCACGCCATTCTCCTGCCTCAGCCTCCCAAGTAGCTGGCATTACAGGCGCCCGCGACCGCGCCTGGCTAATTTTTTGTATTTTTAGTAGAGACGGGGTTTCACCGTGGTCTCGATCTCCTGACCTCATGATCCGCCTGCCTCGGCCTCCCAAAGTGCTGGGATTACAGGCGTGAGCCACCAAGCCTGGCCTGAAATGTTAAATTGACAGTATGTTGGATTTACTGGGTTAAATAAAATACACTGTAAAAATTAACTTCGTCTATTTCCAGTGTGGCTGCTAGATTTATACCCGCACGTGGCATTCATACCATTTCTTTTGGAAAGCAATGCTCTAGAACCTCCTACCATTCTGAGTGACCAGCTCTCGGTGTGTTGTACATGTGAGAGCATCATACAAAGGGGACCAACTTCCCTTACAGGGACAAAGTCTGTCAACCAAATACTCACCAAACTGCCCTCCTGCTGAGGGTTCAGCACCTTCACCATTATTTCCAAACTGCATCAATGAATCTAAAGTGCGGGGGGACATCGGCAGGTCAATGGTATTGCTGCAGGTCGTTCTGTAGGAAATGGGGGGCAGCAGGAGGGGAAACGGGGGGTTGACAAGACACAATGGAAAAAAAAAAAGAACAAAACACACACACACAAGCCATCAAACTCTGGTCTCCAACAGAAAAATAAAAGCTCAAGCTCTTTAAACACACAAGGTCACTGTGAGTACTAAACATAGCCCAGGGGCTTCCGACCCTCGGCAGATTAACTCTCACCCAGTGTCCTACTCCCAGGGATAACTGAGGATATTAGAAATGAAGGCAAAATTGGGAAAGGAAGCCACTTACGGTGTCACACAGATAAACTTGGTCTTCAGGTATGGGGCGGCGCCTGGGAAGAAGAAAACCAGTTTTCTTACTGACTGTGACTTCGCATTCAGTAAGCAGAGCCGGAGGAAGCCATCTGCCTCAGCTGGACTGATTTGAAACTCACTCCATCCTCATGCCAAGATTGTCTGGAAAGCTCCATCCGCCCCTCAGCGTTGCCCGCCCTCATCTATACTATTTGATGTCCTAGGCACTAGCAGCTTTGAACCTCAGTTCTTTGCACAAAGCTGTCCTGAGCTGCAGAGGCTTTTCAGCATAACCTTTTCCCACCTGAGCCTAGACTAATGCCAACCTTGTGTCCATTCTTTCCCTAGATTATGTAAAAGTTTAACAGCCTCCATGTAGTCTAAGGATTCTATTCTAGCCTGGTCATATCTCTTAGATAACTTCTCTGAATGCAGGAACCAAGCCTGCGTAGTCTTTGCCTGGTGTACCAACATCACCGAGTCTTTAAAGAACATGGAGACTGCTAATGCTTGTGGTTCCAAAGCCAAAGGTTATATCTCCTATTCCCACCAGCACTAATCTGGCCTCTACCACATTTTTGGATGAGGGCATAAGTAACTTCCTAGTTGGATAAATACATCAATCAGGAAGCACCAAAGAGAATATGACTTTGTAGGGCAGTACAATTGCTTCAACTAGACCGGAGACCTGGGTCCAGGTACATCTTCAATAGCTAAGAGACCTGGAGCAAGGCATGGTCTCTCTTTTGTTGTTGTTGTTGTTGTTGTTTTGAGACAGAGTCTCACTCTGTTGCCCAGGCTCAAGTGCAGTGGCACAATCTCAGCTCACCGCAACCTCCTGCTCCCGGGTCAAAGCCATTCTCCTGCCTTAGGCTCCCAAGCAGCTGGGACTACAGGTGGCACCACCATGTCTGGCTAATTTTTGGTTTTTTTTGAGACGGAGTCTTGCTCTGTCACCCAGGCTGGAGTGCAGTAGCGCCATCTCGGCTCTCTACAACCTCTGCCTCCAGGGTTCAAGTGATTCTCCTTCATCAGCCTTTTGAGTAGCTGGGATTACAGGCATCCGCCACCATGCCTGGCTAATTTTTTTTTTTTTTTTTTTTTTTGTAATTTTGGTAAAGACGAGGTTTCACCATGTTGACCAGGCTGGTCTTGAACTCCTGACCTCAGGTGATCTGTCCGCCTCACCCTCCCAAAGTGCTGGGATTACAGGCATGAGCCACCACGCCCGGCTTAATTATTGTATTTTTAGTAGAGACGAGGTTTCTCCATGTTGGCCATGCTGGTCTCAAACTCCTGACCTCAAGTGATCCGTCCACCTCAGCCTACCAAAGTGCTAGGATTACAGGTATGAGCTATCATGTCCCAGCCTTGGCCACAACGCCCAGCCCATGTTCTCTTTTATGTATAAAATAAGAGGGAGGGGGAAGAAAAGGTTCCAATTTTCTATGAGCTTTGTCATTTACAATTCTTGTTCTACAGTTAGAAATGCAATGATGGGAATAAAATGAATTTTAGATGCTGAATGCTTACACCAAGAGGTCAAGGAACCTTGGAGATACTGACATGAAATCTGGGGAATTCAGATGAACAAACCATTGAGAAGGCATGGGGCAGGGTGGGGTGGGCTGAGAACAGCACAGTCATAAAACATGAGGCTTAGAGAGAACCTGAGGGATCAGAAAGCATGATGACCATGTGAAAGAGGGCACTGCAGAGTGGCTCTTGGGCCGCCATCTGAGTTTACTTTGGGCCAAGAAACTGATCAATTCAGTGCAGAATTCAAAGGAGCTACTGAGGCTGGGCTCCAGTGTCTTATAAATGCAACCGTTTTGGCCCAGCCCTTAGGGAGCTGACACCCTAGACAGAAAAGGATTTAATTTTCCAGCAATCAAGATAGCTGAGGCCGGGCACAGTGGCTAACGTCTGTAATCCCTGCACTTTGGGAGGCTGAAGCAGGTGGATCACCTGAGGCCAGGAGTTCAAGATCAGCCTTGCCAACATGGCGAAACCCTGTCTTTAATGAAAATACAAAAAGTAGTTGGGCGTGGTGGCATGTCTGTAATCCCAGCTACTTGGGAGGCTGAGGCAGGAGAATCACTGGAACCTGGGAGGCAGAGGCTACAGTAAGGTGAGATAGCACCACTGCACTCCAGCCTGGGAGACAGAGTGAGGCTGTTAAAACAAAACAAAAACAAAAACAAGCCCGGGCACCGTGGCTAACCCCTATAATCCCAGCACTTTGGGAGGCCCAGGAGGGAAGGTCACTTGAGGTCAGGAGTTCGAGACCAGCCTGGCCAACAGGTGAAGCCCTGCCTCTACTAAAAATCCAAAAATCAGCCAGGCATGGTGGCACATGTCTGTAATCCCAGCTACTCAGGAGGCTGAGGCATGAGAATCTCTTGAACCCGGGAGGCAGAGGTTGCGATGAACCCAGATCACGCCACTGCACTCCAGCCTGGGCGATAGAGTGAGACTCAGTCTCAGAAAACAAAAAAAAAAAAGCGGAGAAAAATGGCTTCATGTGTGGCTGTGTACAAGGCTGTAAACATACTTTATCTAATTTGTGAGAGGCTCTGAAACTCTCCCTCAAGCCATAAGGAAATGCTGTGTGGGCTTCCAGTAGAGAAGGAAGAGAGAAGAGTCTTGGGACGATAATCTAACCTTGAGACTCTCATACCATAATACTCTTACGATGGAAATAGAGAGGAAATGGTCACATGCTCATCTTCCTGAAGGCACCCATTTTATAATAACACAGGGACACCGCCACATCCGTCACTACACTCACACGGAGTCCCTCAGGGCATACTCCTCTCAGCAAGGCAGGCAAATTACTCAAGTAATTAGTTCCTTTCTCCTGATGAGTGCCTTGGCCCCTGAGGAAAGGCTGACATTGCTGGGCAGGAAAGGACCTGGCCTCCCAGCCCACAGGAAGGGCGATGGTAATGGAGGATGCAGCCTCAGACTGGGAGGTGAGACTGTGAAAGCAAAATGAGTCAAAAGGACCAGCCGTGGGACCCCAATGTCCTCTGCAAAAGGAACAAAGAGCCGTGTGGCAGGGGCTGATAAACAGATCTCCCAACTGAAGCACACGTGGAAAGAGAGATAGGCGGCAGACAGGAAGTGAGCAACTCCTACAGCGGGAACAAGACTCAGGACCCCAGCAAAGGAGAAAGGCAACAGTCAATTAGCTGGAACTCCCTCTTCCAAGCCCCATTCTGCCCCATCCCAAGAAATCCCTTGGAAGGAATTCCTAGGAAAAAGTGGGGGGGAAGTTTGCAGGTTTCTGTGTGTATGCCATTTGAACAAAAACAGTTTTTTCAACAGCAACTGGGGCAAGGCACCAACCCTAAAGGATCACATTATAAGAGTCCATCATTAGGCCAGGCACAGTGGCTCATGCCTATAATCCCAGCACTTTGGGAGGCTGAAGCAGGTGGATCACCTGAGGTCAGGAGTTCAAGACCAGCCTGGCCAACATGGCGAAACCTCTTCTCTACTAAAAATATAAAAATTAGCTGGGTGCGGTGGGGGGCGCCGGTAGTCCCAGCTACTAGGGAGGCTGAGGCAGGAGAATGGCGTGAACCCAGGAGGCGGAGCTTGCAGTGAGCAGAGATCGCGCCACTGCACTCTAGCCTGGGCGACAGAGTCAAACTCTGTCTCAAAAAAAAAAAAAAAAGAGTCCATCATTGGCTTTATGATTATAGAAAGTTAAATAAAACAAAGAATGGCAAATCAGAGACTCCCCATCAGGACCTGCACAGAGAACCCAGAGAGTCAAAACAGCAAGTGCTGAATGGGAACTCAGGGCCGCCTCCCCACACTGAGGACAGCTCCAGAGATTACGGTTTTTTTTTTCTTTCTGTGTGTGTGTATGTGTGTGTGTGTGTCGTGGGGTCTTGCTATGTTGCCAGGCTGGTCTTGAGCTCCTGGCCTCAAGCAATCCTCCTGCTTCAGACTCCCAAAGTGCTAGGACTACAGGTGTTTTGAACCCCCATGCCCAGCTGAGATTACAGGTTTTTTTTTTTTTTTTTTTTTTGAGACGGAGTCTCGCTCTGTAGCCCAGGCTGGAGTGCAGTGGCCGGATCTCAGCTCACTGCAAGCTCCGCCTCCCGGGTTCACGCCATTCTCCAGCCTCAGCCTCCCGAGTAGCTGGGACTACAGGCGCCCGCCACCTCGCCCGGCTAGTTTTTTGTATTTCTTAGTAGAGACGGGGTTTCACCGTGTTATCCAGGATGGTCTCAATCTCCTGACCTCGTGATCCACCCGTCTCGGCCTCCCAAAGTGCTGGGATTACAGGCTTGAGCCACCGCGCCCGGCCGAGATTACAGGTTTAATGTAAAACAGTGTTTTTAATTTCTGGGTTTTTTTTTTTTTTGGCGAGACAAGGTCTTGCTCTGTCACCCAGGCTGGAGTGCAGTGGTGTAATCACGGCTCACTGCAGCCTCAACCTCCTAGGCTCAAGCACCAATCCTCCCACCTCGGCCTCCCAAGTAGCTAGGACTACAGGCACAAACCACCACACCTGGCTAATTAAAAAAAAATTTTTTTTTTGTTTAGATAGGGTCTCACTATGTTGTCTAGGCTGGTCTCAAACTCCCAGGCTCAAGTGATCCTCCCACCTGGGCCTCCCAAAGTGCTAGGACTACAGGCATGAGCCACTGTGCCCAGCTAAAATAATTTATATGTAACATATAAATACATATCCTCTTACACATTAAAAAATACCTCTTACACATTAAAAAATACACATTCTAAATACCAATACCTTGCCCCTCCACCCAGTCACTGTCTTCCCCTTCAAACATGATGCTCCCAGCTCTTCTACTCTGGTGTAAACCATACTCCCATGCGGCTAATAATAATTTCCTCCAGAAACCCTTTCTTCAGACCACCTGGCACACTGACATGGTTCAGTGACAGGCAAAAAGCCATAGGCTGGGCTGAAATCTGGGCCTCAAACCTTCTGGCATCGACTAAGAAGCACTGTGCCAGCTGAGCATCCGTTAACTGCCCTCACTTTCCCTTCTCGTGTTTTTGGCATGTTTCGGGGGACGTATGTGTATTAATCCCCTCTTTATTTGTATTTTTTGACACAGTGTCTCACTCTATCAGCCAGGCTGGAGTGCAGTGGCACGATCACCGCTCACTACAGCCTTGAACTCCTCGGCTCAGGTGATCCTCCCACCTCAGCCTCCCAAGCAGCTATGACTACAGATGCATGCCACCACACCGGGTAATTTTTTTGTATTTTTTGTTGTCCAAGCTGTATCCCCTCTTTAGACTCATGCACTCTCTGTGGAGCAGGAACTGCACTAGTCTAACTGATTCTGATTCTCCTCTCAAATCCCATCGGTCACCCCAACAAAAGCACTCACTACAGTTCTTTCCCATAAGGAGAAATAATGATCCCCCAGGTTATTCAGGCATTTGCCTATCTATCCTCCAAGGATCCCCAAATTTCTAACTTTTCCCAAAAATTAAATGCCAGGAACATGGAAAATCAACAACTACCTGGGTCAGCTTCAGGATGCTCCTGGCTCTCTGGCCGACAATACTTTCCGAATGCCTCCTCCTTGGGAATGTCAGGGTAGAGATAGACCAGCGGAGACACCAGAATATTGGTAGCATCCATGATCTTATAGCCCATGATGATTTCAGCAAATGACATGTTGTTCAACTGCTGCTTGGTGTATGGTTCCACGGACTGGATCTGGGTCTTACCTGTCACGGGACATGGGAAGGAAAGATCATGGAACCTACAGCTAGGTCATCTCAGAGAAAACTGCCCATTTTTTCTTTTCTCGAAGGGGAAAAAACTTAAGCCACCCTAGTGTTGAGACCCTGAACACACTGTTCAGTGAGTGGCCTGGCACGGTGGAAATGTTCAGGCTGGCTTCTAATTTAGAAGAGGCTACCAGTTGGGTCATAGAAAATAAACTTGAATGTAACTACTTGTGTAAGATATATTAACAGGACTAAGTAGAAAAAGGGATGAAGAATACAACTTAAATTGCAAATTTCTCAACAAATAGTCACTGGAGCAAGCAAAACAAAGACAAATCAATCCTTCAGCTAGAAGGATTTAGAAGTCACCCAAATGTGTTTTGCGAGTCTGAGTGAGGCAGGGAGTCGGTGCCATCTCCACCACAAGGGGGCAGTAGGTGCTTGGAACTAGCAGCGGTGATGAGGCCTCAGCAGCCGCCAGCAGGTGGGGTGGGTGGGAGCCTCCCTTACCACTGATGTCCTTCTCCACCCAAGTGAAAGTGACGCCGCCTTCTTTGCTGCTTTCACTGAATCTTAGCAGAAAGGTGCCTGGAGGCTTGGTGCTCAAGATGGCCCGCTCCCGCTCCTTACTGATAAAGCCCATGATGTACCTGGAGCCAAGGAGGAGGAACAGTGTTGTTACTGCTAACAGGGCATCCATCCCCTGCCACTGGCTTGCTGAGAGCAGGGGACTTGGTTACATCTGTGCACACTCTGTCCAACCTACCCTTCATTCCAAAGGGCCAGGATGTACTTTTTCACAAGGTCAATGATATTGTCCAGCCAGACCCAGAAGGAGAAGCCCTTGCCAGCCATGTTTTCCTGCAGAAAAGAGTAATGGGAAAGCCAAGTCTGCTGCCATCCCAGCCTTTCCCTTCCTAGGGGCACAGTGCACCACCCAACTCCTCAGGCCCATCTACCCTCAGGCAGGTCCTACTGGCTGCTGGACCAAGAGTTCAGGGCCTTCAAGCCAGAGCCCTCCACGACAGCCGTGCAGGTAGGCATTCCCATTCCCACGAGAATTTTACAAGATTGCTTACTTTGCAAAATTTAGCCCATGTGATCTGACACCCTGAATAATTCACGCCAGGTCCTGAAGGAAAAGAAAAAGAATCAACTAGTACATTTTCCGCTTGGGGTCAAGAGGTTATTTCTTAAAGCAGAACACACACACATTGGTCCCACAATGGGCCACAAAATCATTGGCTTTCACATCTTTGAACGTGGCCACCGTTGTGTGTGTGCACACACGAGGACAAACACTACCCCATCATTTGACCCACTTTTGTTGTTGGGTAGCCCAGCACGGATAGGGGGTGATGTAACAAGTCCCCCTGCTCTTCCCAGCCTCGGGTGGCGGGCTGGGGACCAGCAGCAGCACTAACAAGCTGACATCAGGTGTCAGACAGGTGTATTTGGTGGCAACAGCTTTATTAGGACAAAGCTACTTCTAGCCCAGGTAGCACATAAAATATTCCACTAATTCTTTTTTTTTTTTTTGAGACGGAATCTCGCTCTGTCGCCCACCCTGGAGTGCAGTGGTGCAATCTCGGCTCACTGCAAGCTCCACTTCTTGGGTTCTCGCCATTTTCCTGCCTCAGCCTCCTGAGTAGCTGGGACTACAGGCACTCGCCACCACGCCTGGCTAATTTTTTGTATTTTTAGTAGAGACGGGGTTTCACTGTGTTAGCCAGGATGGTCTTGATCTCCTGACCTCATGATCCACCCACCTTGGCCTCCCAAAGTGCTGGGATTACAGCGTGAGCCACCACGCCCGGCCTCCACTAATTATTTTTTAAAAACCTAGCCTAGGCCGGGCATGGCGGCTCACACCTGTAATCTCAGCAATTTGGGAGGCCGAGGTGGGCGGATCACGAGGTGAAGAGATGGAGATCATCCTGGCCAACATGGTAAAACCCCATCTCTACTAAAAATACAGAAATTAGCTTGGCGTGGTGGTGGGCGCCTGTAGTCTCAGCTACTTGGGAGGCTGAGGCAGGAGAATTGCTTGAACCCAGGGGAGGCAGAGGTCGCAGTGGGCCGAGATCGCACCACTGCACTCCAGCCTGGGCAACAGAGCGAGACTTGTCTCTCAAAAAAAAAAAAACAAAAAAACCAAAAAAAACCTAGCCTGTAGTTTATTAAAGAAATAGACAGGGAATGTCAAGCCTTTAGTGCCACCTTCCAACACACATTTAAAAGATCTTCTAAGGTTAGTTGGAGTGGGTGAATGAGACAGCAACCAGGAGAAAAGAAATCCACCTCCCACCTCAAAAATGATCACCTCGACTGAAAACTGCAAACTGTCTCTGCACCCCAACTCCCCAACTCGATGGAGCCCCTGTTTCCTGGCACCAGCACAGCACCTTGCTCAGGAAAGAAACATGGCCTAACGCTCAGTAGACATGACCCAAATGAATAGCCCTGTGGGCCGGATCCCTTTTCTGGGCAGGCGGGAGGGAGAAGGGGTTAAACGCAGACCCAAGAGTTTCTCCGCCAGTGTAGTCAGCTGCTCGATGCTCAGTCCTCGCTTGGTGGTGGAGGAGAACTGCCAGCTCAGGACCTCGGCCACTTGATCCCAGGTTCCGATTGGGGGCTTGGTAAAAAAGTTTACGTTCTATTGGAAAGAACACATTTGCTTGTTTAGAGGAGGGATGGTGCTCATTGTCTGTACTAGGTACCCATACATCGCAAGAGATCCCGGGGTACCAACTAAAAGGAGGGGGTACTAACCTTGGGGTTGTTGGTCAGCATGTTGTACCACAGGATGGACGCCCAGGCATTTGGCATCTGACAGATGTTGGAGATCACCACAACTGGCAAGGAGTGGGTCTGCGGAGGAAGTGGGGACTGAGCTGGGGAGGCAGAGGGGCTCTCACAGACTCGGAAATCTCTTTGCCTGTATTTCACGGGGCTCAGAATGAAAGGACATGCCATAAATCACACCTGCTGCCAACTCTAGGCGAGGAGTGTGAGTCAGCTCAGTCAGCACTCAGAGTGGAAAAAATGCCCAGCGTGGCCACACAACTTGGGCTGCTGTTGGAACATACCGGTCCCTTGTAAAACCTGACTTGCTCAAAGCTTGACTCACAGTCCACAGATTCCCCATTTTTAAGACCTTGGAGGCATTTTCCAAGGCTTGAAGCTGTATCTTCACGTGAAACAGGGAGGTCTCAGGAATCAAAGACCAGGATTCCCGCTTTTCTAGGTCTATCTTAACTTAAAAATCAAGAAAGTTGGGAAAAGAGAATGTCATCGCCACAATTTTCTGTACACTAAACACAATGGCTGCTAAGACTCTTATGCCCAAACTTTATAAAATCAGCTCTAATCAATTTCTTTTTTTTTTTTTTTCTATTTTTTGAGACGGAGTCTTACTCTGTCGCCCAGGCTGGAGTGCAATGGCACAATCTCGGCTCACTGCAACCTCAGCCTCCCGGGTTCAAGTGATGCTCCTGCCTCAGCCTCCCGAGTAGCTGGGTTATAGGCACATGCCACCACGCCCAGTTAATTTTTGTATTTTTAGTAGAGATGGGTTTTCGTCATGTTGGCCAGGATGGTCTCAAACTCCTAACCTTGTGATCCGCCTGCCTTGGCCTTCCAAAGTGCTGGGATTACAGGGGTGAGCCACCACGCCCAGCCAATCAATTTCTAAATAGAGATTTTCATATCAAGTTTGCTGAAAGCTGAGTATACACACATCTTCTAAGCACTCAAGCAAGACTTTATTCTCAGATGCGATGCCAAGGATTTTTTTTTTGAGAAAAGTAAGCAAAAATAAATGCAGTGTTAAGCAAACAGTAATCATTCCACCTTCTCTTATAAAAATACCAGTGGAAGATTTTGTCCTGAGTCACCTCTGCATGTAGCCTCTCACCAATTCTGCTGCAGAACTCACCTCTAGGTCAATCTTGAGGCCTTGGTGATATACCTCTGTCTCAAAGGTGATCAGGTGCAGCTCCTCAGTCACAATCAGGGAAGCCTGCAGTAACAAGAAGGACACTCTTAGGCCAGCTGTGGTGGCTCATGCCTGTAATCCCAGCACTTTGGGAGGCCAAGGCAGGAGGATTGCTTGAGCCCAGGAGTTCGAGACCAGCCTAAGCAGCACAGCAAAACTCCATCTCTGCAAAAAATACAAAAATTAGCTGGGTGTGGTGGTGTACACCTATAGCCTCAGTTACTCGAGAGGCTCAGGTGGGAGGATGGCTTGAGCCTAGGAAATGGAAGCTGCAGTGAGCTATGATTGTACCACTCCACTCTAACTGGGGCAACAGAGTGAGACCCTGTCTTAAAAATATATATATAAAAATAAAAGGCTGGGCATGGTGGCTCATGCCTATAATCCCAGCACTTTGGGAGGCCGAGGTAGGCGGATCAAATGGTCAGGAGTTTGAGACCATCCTGGCCAATAATTTGGTGATTAGCTGGGCGTGGTGGCAGGCACCTGTAGTCCCAGCTACTCAGGAGGCTGAGGCAGGGGAATCGCTTGAACCCAGGAGGCAGAGGTTGCAGTGAGCCGAGATCGTGCCACTGAACTCCAGCCTGGGTGACAGAGCGAGACTCTGTCTAAATAAATAAATAGATAGATAGATAGATAGATAGATAGATAGATAGAAATAGATAGATAGACAGACAGATAGATAGATAGAGAAGGATGCTTTTCCTCAGAGAGAATGGCATTCAGTACTAACAGTCACAGCCAAGAAAAGGGACATGCCAACCCTCACCACACCAAGAAGTGTTAAGTCACCATGTGGTCACAGACAAAGTGCCAGGGACACAACTTGCTTGGCACTTAATCTCTTCAACACCAAGAAACTCCAATGCTATCATCCTCAACCTAATCCCTTACTCATTTTGTATTATAATATTATATAGATCCAATCGGTTATTTGTAAAATACGTAAGGCACAAAGAATAACAAAACAATGTGAACCCACCATTCAATTTCAGGAAAAGTCCACCACTCCTGAAATTCTCTGGGTGCCCTTCCCCAACCCCATCCCCCTCCCTCCTCCCTCAGAAATAACTGCTATTTGTCTTTTGGGTTTATCATTTCCTAGCCTTTTTTTTTTTTTTTTTTTTTTAACAGGTTTACCATATTTGTTTATCTAAGCAATGTAGGTATTGTTTAGTTTGGGACGTCTGTGAACCTTACACATATGGACTCCAATGAATTCTTTTGTGATTCACTTTTCACTTGATGTGAAATGAAGCCACATGGTTATGTGTATCTGCAATGTATTCCTTTTCACAGCTGCGTAGTATTCCATTGTGTCTACACCACAAATTATGTATTCATTCTAATGTTGATGGGTATTTATTTGGGTTGCATTTAGAGCTTAGAATCAGGCTGATTTCCACTTTATACATGTCTCCTGGGACATATATGCAAATATTTCTCTGCTATTAAATCCTGGGAATGGCACTGTTGGTTCACAGGGTATGTTCATTTTTATACCGCCAAATTGTTTTCCAAACTGACTATAATAATGTCTTACATCAGTACAGCAACCTTATTTTAAAGAAGAGCTGTCAATGAATTCTCAGAAATTGAATTCTAGGCGGGGCACAGTGGCTCATGCCTGTAATCCCAGCACTTTCAGAGGCCGAGATGGGTGGATCATGAGGTCAGGAGTTCAAGACCAGTCTGGCCAATATAGTGAAACCCTGTCTCTACTAAAAATGCAAAAATTAGCCGGGCATGGTGGCGCGTGCCTGTAGTCCCAGCTATTCGGGAAGCTAAGGCAGGAGAACTGCTTGAACCCAGGAGGCGGAGGTTGCAGTGAGCTGAGATCATACCACTGTACTCCAGCCTAGGCAACAGACTAAGACTCCGACTCAAAAAACAAAGAAAAAAGAAATTGAATTCTAATTCATTTTTAATACTCTTTTTCTAATTATAAAAGTAATATATTCAGTTTAAAATGCAAATATCACAGAGACAGTCTAGAATAGCCATGGACACAAACAGCAGCACTAATACATAGCACTGCTGGGTGTATATTCCTCCAGAATTTCTTAATATACATATGAATACACATGAGAGTTTAGTGTATTTTTAAAACACATATACTAATATACTATTCAAATTATTTTACATTTTGCTTTTTCTAAACATGTCATGTACATTTTCCTGTATCATTGCATACAGGTTACTTCACTCTACTGTCAAGTAAAATTCCACATTTTTTAAAAGGACTACTATCTTATTTTATTTCATTTTATTTTATTTTAGAGACAGAGTTTCACTCTGTTGCCCAGGCTAGAGCGCAGTGGCAAAATCTCGGCTCACTGCAACCTCCACCTCCTGGGTTCAAGTCATTCTTGTGCCTCAGTCTCCCTGGTAGCTGGGACTACAGGTGCGCACCACCGTACCCAGCTAATTTTTGTATCTTTAGTTGAGCCGGGGTTTAACCATGTTGGCCAGGCTGGTCTCAAACTCCTGACCTCAAGTGATCTGCCTGCCTCGGCCTCCCAAAGTGCTGCTGGGATTACAGGTGTGAGCCAGCATGCCCAGTTAGAACTGCTACATTTTAAAGAGGAAGAATTGTTCAGGGGACAAATGTGAGAAAAAGAACAGGACATCACAATTTTTAAAAATGATTAAAAACTAGCTTTCAGTCACATTTACCTTTTTTTGTTTGTTTGTTTTTTAAAAGTTTATTCTTGACAATAAGAAGCCAATAATCTGAATCAATGAAAAGCAGAAAATAAGGGGGATAAAAAACAAGATGGGTTTTTGTTTGTTTTATTTTATTTACTCTTTTCCTAAGCAAGCTAACACAAGGTGGTCATTTATTTTAAAGTTTAACTCAGATCTGTTGATTTTACACCCCCCCTATCCCACCTCAGTGGGAGAGAAAAACAGGGCACTAAAAACGGAGCCAAGCAGGGTCAGCCGCAGGAGCTGGATGGGGAATTTGGAAAGCCCCAGGCAAGGTGGAAAGCTACTTTATAACACATGGGTGTGGAGAACAACTCAGCTAGGGACTTTCCACTTCTCCTTAAGGAGGAGCCAACTCCCAGACATTCATGGAAATGTTCCAAGCCAGAGAGCTTCATGGCACATGGAACTTCTGTTCATGTCACTCTGGCCTGCTCGGACTTTCTGGAATAACTACAGCTGAAAGAACAGGTTGATGTTTCTAATTCTGGGGATTAAGAAGGATCTTTACCCCTTTCTCCCTCAAGGAAAACACCCCAGTTGTCTTTCATCCCCAACAAAACTTACATCACAGTTGGCTCGGCCCCCATTCCCACATCTCTGCTCCCTCAGGGTCTGTAAGAAAAGAAAAAGCCAGGTGTCCTGTGAGGCTCTCCCCAGCCCACTCCCTCAGCCAGAGGCCCTTTGTGAAGGCGAGCTCCTCCCACATACCAAGTGTTTGAATTCTGCAGAGAGGCTGCCGTTGTTGGACTCTTCCATGTTCATCACTTTGGTGTTTGTGCCCAGAATGTTAAATTTCCGGGATCTGAATCACAGGAGAACAATCAACTATGTAGGCGACCGAGTAGCCAGAGGATGAAGTTAGGTTAAATGGAACAAAAGGAAGCCTCTAGGCTGAACTTACCCTCTGAGAGCTGCAACATCCCCAGAGTCTCTGTAAGAACACAGACCATTGTTAGTAAAACAGGCTCCGTGTTTCTTCAAAAAGCCTACTTTGACCACCTGTTATTTACTCTCATGAAAAAACCTCTGTGCTCCTGGGCATTTCTTTAAAAAACGTAACACCTTTGTGTAGTAGGCACAGTTGGTTGCCTCCCCATAGGAAGGGGGGGAACCTATGTTTCATATTGCATATGTACTTATTAAACCTATCACCTTCATCAACTCCCTGATTTCATTATTTTCCAGTGCATTCTCATGAAATTTCCAGATAATTATATCAACTAAAAATAAGTATGCATTTTCTCTTTTCTTTCTTTTTTTTTTTTGATACAGAGTTTTGCTCTTGTTGCCCAGGCTGGAGTGCATGGCGTGATCTCAGCTCACCGCAACCTCCACCTCCTGAGTTCAAGCGATTCTCCTGCCTCAGCCTCCCGAGTAGCTGGGATTACAGGCATGCGCCACCACACCCGGCTAATTTTGTATTTTTAGTAGAGACAAGGTTTCTCTATGTTGGTCAGGCTGGTCTCGAACTCTCGACCTCAGGTGATCTGCCCGCCTCAGCCTCCCAAAGTGCTGGGATTACAGGCGTGAGCCACCGTGCCCGGCCACATTTTCTCTTTCTAATGTCTTCAAAGGGTATGTGTATTTTACATCCTGAAAGGTATTATGAAATTTTGAGTATTCCAATATATGGTAAAGTGCGGAACAATTAAAAAAAAAGAGATCTATTCTTTCCACATGCTATGTATGGAAAGAATATATAACAACGTTTCAGTCAACAACAAACTGCATATATGAAGGTGGTCCCATAAGATTATAATGGAGCTGAAAAATTCCTTCTTCATTGAGATGTGTTACAATTGCCTATGGTATTCAGCACAGTAACATACTGTACAGGTTTGCAGCCTATGACCAGCAGGCTCTGCTACATAGCATAGGTGGGCAGTAGGCTCTGCCACCCAGGTTTGTGTAAGGACTATATACTCTACAATGGTTGCACAACAAAATTGCCTAACGATACATTTTGCAGAATGTATCCTAGTCATTAATTAACACATAATCTCAGTCTTATATATAACATGCATGAATGACATGTACAAGTAAAAAACTAAATAAAGAAAAAGAGGGACTGGTAGTCACAATAGCAACCATAAATCACATCTGTACCCCCAGCTTTGTGGCTTTGTTCAGGCACACAAATGACAATGCACCCCAAGCCTTTTGAAAACTTTTGTACACAAAATGAAGATCTCTGAATAAAGACAGAGTCTCTAGTTCAAATGATGTCTGTCAAAGTACTCATTTTTCCATTCCTCATTTGAAAAAAAGAGCTAAGATAGAAGTACTTACTTGTCAATGCACACTTTAATTTTAAGTTGATAATTTAACTCAGGGAATTTGACCAGCAACCTATTTAAAAAGAAAAAATCCAATGAAAAAAAAAGTCAGTAGACTCTTCCATAACTTTTCTTAAAGAAATGTAAAATTCCTAATTCTTCATTTCTAATAGGTAAATAGGCCAAGCTGTCTGTAATTATAGACTCACATCTACAATCTCAGCACTGTGGGAGGCAAAGCTGGGAGGCTCACTTGAGCCCAGGAGTTCCATAACAGTCTGGGCAACAAAGCGAGAGCCCCAGGCCCCGTAACCTTACCAATACAATAAACAAAATGGTAAAAATAAAAAATTAGCGGCGGTGGGGGCCTGTAGTCAGTATCAGGAGGTGAGGGGAATGGGGACCAGGAGGGGAGTGCAGTGAGCAGATCGCCCTGCACTCCAGCCTGGGCGACAGCGTGAGACTCCGTCTCAAAAAAAAAAAAAAAAAAAAATTAGCAGGGTGTGGTATCATGTACCTGTAGTAGCAGTTACTCAGGAGGCTGAGGCAAGAGGATCACTTGTGCCCAGGAGTTCAAGGCTACAGTGACTTATGATCATGCCACTGCACTCTAGCCTGGGTGACAGAGCGAGATCCTCTCTCTCCCGATCTCTCTTTTTTTCCTTTTTTTTTTTTTTGAGACGGAGTTTCGCTCTTGTTACCCGGGCTGCAGTGCAGTGGCACAATCTCCATTCACCACAACCTCTGCCTCCTGGGTTCAAGTGATTCTCCTGCCTCAGCCTCCCAAGTAGCTGGAATTACAGGAGCGTGCCACCACATCCAGCTAATTTTGTATTTTTAGTAGAGACAGGGTTTCTCCGTGTTGGCCAGGCTGGTCTCGAACTCCCGACCTCAGGTGATCCACCCACCTCAACCTCCCAAAGTGCTGGGATTATAAGCGAGAGCCACCGCGCCCGGCCCCTATCTCTCTCTTTAAAAAAATTAAAATAGGGCCGGGCACGGTGGTTCATACCTGTAATCCCAGCACTTTGGGAGGCCAAGGCGGGTGGATCACAAGGTCAGGAGTTCAAGACCCACCTGGCCAAGATGGTGAAACCCCATCTCTACTAAAAGTATAAAAATCAGCCAGGCGTGGTGGCAGGTACCTGTAATCCCAGCTACTTGGGAGGCTGAGGCAGGAGAATCACTTGAACCTGGGAGGCGGAGGTTGCAGTGAGCCTCTACACTCTAGCCTCGGTGATAGAGCAAGACTCCATCTCGAAAAAAATAAAAAAATAAAAATAGGCCAAGCGTGGTGGCTCACACCTATAATCCCAGTACTTTTGGAGGCTGGGGCGGGTGGATCACCTGAGGTCAGGAGTTTGAGACCAGCCCGGACAATATGGAGAAACCCCGTCTCTACTAAAAATACAAAAATCAGCCGGGCATGGTGGAGTGTGCCAGTCCAGCTACTCAGGGAGACTGAGGCAGGAGAAGCACTAGAACTCGGGAGGTGGAGGTTGCAGTGAGTCCAGTTCACACCACTGCACTCCAACCTGGCCGACAGAGTGAGACTGTCTCAAAAAAAAAAAAAAAATTAGCTGGGTATAGTGGCAAGCACCTCTAGTCCCAGCTACTCAGGAGGCCGAGGCACAAGAATCACTTGAACCTGGGAGGTGGAGGTTGCAGTGAACTGAGATCACACCACTGCACACCAGCCTGGATGAGAGTGAGACCCTGTCTCAAAAACAAAGGATGAATATCGCCCCTTCAAGCCAAAGGTACTGAGAAAACGCCTGAGAACTAACAACTTAAAGCTGTGAGAAATTCGCAAAAGGACAATCAAAGCCATATAATGAAAAATATTTGGCCGGGCGCGGTGGCTCAAGCCTGTAATCCCAGCACTTTGGGAGGCCGAGACGGGCGGATCACGAGGTCAGGAGATCGAGACCATCCTGGCTAACACAATGAAACCCCGTCTCTACTAAAAATACAAAAAAATTAGCTGGGCGAGGTGGCGGGCGCCTGTAGTCCCAGCTACTCGGGAGGCTGAGGCAGGAGAATGGCGTAAACCCGGGAGGCGGAGCTTGCAGTGAGCCGAGATAGCGCCACTGCACTCCAGCCTGGGCGACAGAGCGAGACTCCGTCTCAAAAAAAAAAAAAAAAAAAAAAAAAGAAAAATATTACAGGAACACATGCTGGCATTTTGTTCTATTAATCCTGAAACCCAACACCATACTAAGTTTCTGAAGAGGGAAATTTCGCTGCAGAAGGTCAAAACGCCAGCACACCTGTTCTGACTTGAGTGTGAAAGTAACACCTCACCCTACAGGCCCACCACCCACCTGCCCTGGGGCCTCTCAGCTTCCCCATCACTAAGCCTTACTCTTTCCCTTAAAATCCACAGGGAAGCATAGCCTCAAAGAACAGAAAATAGATGACATTATTTTGTCCCTTGGGCAGAAGGAGAAGCTGTGGTCTGAGACTCCAGGTCTGCAATCATAGGAATATGCCCAGGTACCTTCGAAAAGATGACTGCTCTTTTGCTTTTGACATCAGAATCAGAGAGCAAGCAGCTAGTATGGAAACAAATTTCATACGCACAACAGTGTACTGCCTGTGACACCACACCTGGAAAGAATGACCCTGGCCACCAACTCTACCCTAATGGTGTCCCTCAGTAAAATCTCTACTGGAAACAGGAGTGGCGTGGCCTACCTGACTTTGGTAGTGAACTGGACGCCGGTCTTGATGACAAGGGGCCGGTCGGGATGCATGGGCATGCAGGGCTGCCGCTCCACCACAAAGGCACTGAGGAAAGAGAAGACGGGCTCACACGCCACGGCCGCGACTGGAAGTCAGCCCGCCTCTCACTCTACCACATGAGTCTTTAGGTGTTTTTTAGATGAGGGAAAGGGACAAGGATGCTAAGTTACCTTTTCATTAAGTTTCTGAACAGCTCCACGATTCTCTCCTCCAGCATCGGCCGGTGCTGTACAATGGGGTCCCCTTTGTAGGACACTTTTTGCTGCAACTCCTCCAGTTTCTTAATTTGTTGACGGGTCTGAAGTTGAGATTCTGCTAATGACGTTATCCTGCCAATAAATTAAGAAAGGTGTTAATTACCAAAGTGAATGTATATAGGTGAGATGGAGAAGGGGCAGGAAATACTGGAGACATGGAGACCTCTACAATAAGAACAAGGAATATTTTTAATTGTGGTGAAATATACATAGCATGAAATTTACAATTTTTTATCTTAAGTTTACAGTTCAGTGACATTAAGAAAAGAGGAATTCTTCACCACGTTGGGTGGATGCTGAAAATAAATAAATAAATAAATAATTTGTTATTATTTGTTTACTTATTTTTTGAGCTGGAGCGCAGTCGTGCAATCTCAGCTCACTGTAACCTCCACCTCCCGGGTTCAAGCGATTCTCCTGCCTGAGCCTCCTGAGGGATTACAGGTGTAAGCCACTGTGCCTGGCCTATTTATTTATTTATTTATTTGAGACAGAGTCTCACTCTGTTGCCTAGGCTGGAGTGCAGTGGTGTAATGTCAGCTCACTGCAACCTCCGCCTCCCAGGTTCAAGTGATTCTCCTGCCTCAGTCTCCCAAGTAGCTAGGATTACAGGCACCCACCACCACTCCTGGCTAATTTTTATATTTTTAGTAGAGATGGGATTTTGCCATGTTGGCCAGGTTGGTCTTGAACTCCTGACCTCAGGTGATCCACCTGCCTCAATATCCTGAAGTGCTGGGATTAGAGATGTGAGCCACTGCGCCTGGCCAGAAAATAATTTATTTTATCTTTTATTACTAGTTCCTTCCTAAAATCTCAAATCTCTAAGAGGGGCCTGGGCATAAAAGTATTAAAATTTATACCACTAGGAGGCATTGATGGAGTTATCATTGGAAAATGACAAGCATCTGAGCCCAGATATGCAGAACATGAAATATGAAATTTAGCACTTACCTTATTCATCCTAACTTGTCTATGAACACAGACAGCTCACAAAGATGGATTTGAGCCAGCTCTGTTCTGTCACACACTATCTGTGCAAGTTTTGCCAGGCCCTTCACCATCATGGGCCTTAGCTTCCCCTCTCATGAAGAGAAGGGCTTGAACTACATGAGCCCTTTATTTTCTTTCTTTTTTTTTTTTTTGAGGCAGGGTCCCACTCTGTGGCCCAGTGCAGTGTAATGGCATGATCATAGCTCACTGCCTCCTCCAACTCCTGGACATGAGTGATCCTCCTACCTCGGCTTCCTGAGTAGCTAGAACTACAGGTGTGTGCCACCATGCCTGTTTAGTTTTTTGAGATGGAGTCTCACTCTTGTCACCCAGGCTGAAGTGTAATGGCACATGTCTAGTTTTTTAAATTTTTGTAGGAATGGGACCTCACTTTGTTGCCCAGGCTGGTCTCAAACTCCTGGGTTCAAGCAATCCTCCTGATTCTGCCTCCCAAAGCACTGGGATTTATAGGCGTGAGCCACGACACCCAATCCCCATAAACCTTTTCAATGTCAGCCTTCAACTGATCAAAGGACACAACATTATGTTTCAAGACATTGATAACATGCACAAGGAATAAGTGAATAGAGAGTAAGAAAAAGCTCATTAAATCTATCTCCAGGAATAGAGAATATTAGGCCAGGCACAGTGGGTCACACCTGTAATCCCAGAAATTTGAGAGGCCGAGGCAGGTGGATCGCTTGAGACCAGGAGTTTGAGACCAGCCTGGCCAACATGGTGAAACCCCATCTGTACTAAAACACAAAAAAATAGCCAGGCATGGTGGCATGGGCCTGTAATCCTGGCTACTTGGAAGGTTGTGGCTAAGATTGCTTGAACCTGGGAGGAGAAGGTTGCAGCAAGCCATGATCATGTCACTGCACTCTAACCTGGGTGACAAAGTGAGACTCTAGTCTCAAAAAAAAAAAAAAAAAAAGAATAGAGAAGTTTAGCATCATTCCATCATTCTTTGATGGTTTATCACTAGTGTAATAAACCAAAAGACTAGAAAGACAGAAAGTGAAAGGAGAGGGAGAAGGACTGCTGCAGGGATTTCTGAACTCCCTAACTCTTTTCTGGCACTTCTATCCTCCCATTCCCAGAACTTAAGCTTCTTCGTTCCCTGGTCAGGAAGCATGTAAAACTGCTTTCAGTAAATTAACAACACTCGGGGTTAGTGAGGATATGAATAGACAGGCATTCTCATGTAGAGTTGCCCTAAATTTCCAGTTCAGGCTCTGTATCTCAAGTGTCTCCTAGGGCAAGCTGGTGCAACATGCTCACTATAGGGCCTTGCACATGAAGGGTGTGCAGTAAGATTTACTGGATGAAGGTAAAAGTGCAGATTACAGAAAAGCATATAAAGATCCTGGGCTGGGCACAGCAGCTCACATCTATAATTCCAGCGCTTCTGAGAGGCCAAAGTGGGATGATCCCTTGAGCCCAGGAGTTTGAGACCAGTCCAGGCAACAAAGTAAGACCCTGTCTCTATAAAAAATTTAAGAATTAGCCAGGTGTGGTGGTGCACACCTGTAGTCCCAGCTACTCAGAAGGCAAAGGTGGGAAGATTGCTTGAGCCCAGGAGGTCAAGGCTCTAGTGAGCCATGATTGCATCACTGTACTCTAGACTGGGTAACACAGTGAGACCCTGACTCCAAAAAAAGAAAAAAAAATGATCCTGCTAATATAAACTGTATAAATTTCTGTCTTTATGTGTATATACATAATGACAGATGTCTAGACTGCGCGTCAACTAAAATTGTAACTACCAGTACTGCTGATGATTTAATTTAAAAATCTTTTCTTCGGCCAGGTGTGGTGGTTCACGCCTGTAATCCCAGCACTTTGGGAGGCCAAGACGGGCGGATCAGGAGATTGAGACTATCCTGGCCAACACGGTGAAACCCTGTCTCTACTAAAAATACAAAAATTAGCCGGGCATAGTGGCGGGCGCCTGTAGTCCCAGCTACTTGGTAGGCTGAGGCAGGAGAATGGCGTGAACCTGGGAGGCGGAGCTTACAGTGAGGGGAGATCGCGCCACTGCACTCCAGCCTGGGCAACAGAGCGAGACTCCATCTCAAAAAAAAAAAAAAAATTTTTTTTCTTCACTTGATTAATTTTCTGTATTTGGATTTTTCCCCTTAAAAAGGGCATGCGTTGTTTTAGATTACTAAAATAACTAAAATTAAAAGTTTTGTTTATCTGTTAAATACAGTTAAACCAAAAGCCTTAATTGAATCAAGTAAAATATACTTAAAATATAATAATATAAATACATTTTTTTAAACAAAGTTTCTCCAAATAAAGTAAAAACTTTATTTTATTTTTATTTTTTTGAGATGGAGTCTCACTGTGTCACCCAGGCTGGTTGGCATCCGGTAGTGCGATCTCGGCTCACTGCAACCTCCATATCCCAGGTTCAAGTGATTCTCCTGCCTCAGCCGCCCAGAGTAGCTGGGACTACAGGCATGCACCACCATGCCCGGCTAATTTTTATGTTTTTAGCAGAAATGGGTTTTCACCATGTTAGCCAGGCTGGTCTCCAACACCTGACCTCAAGTGATCCGCCCATCTTGGCCTCCGCCCAGCCAAAATAAAGTAAAAACTTTAATTATTGGGTTAAATTTGAATATGGAAAAGTCCCCACGTTGGAGATAGAGTACCAATTCTGTGGGCCTGCAGTTAAGATCAGAATTCAATCTAGCTTTCGAGAAAGAAAGGAAAAGCTTCTTTCATCCTTTACCAGTTTTCTAGCCGATCTAGGCAGATGTTGGGCGGACCTCCAATGCAGGCAATCTGTTGCCGCCTCTTCCAGTCAGCCAGCTCCTCGTCTGTGAGAGTTTTCTGCACGTACTCCATCGCTGACAAAAGCCCCGCCAGCTCACTCACGATGCTCTGGTTGGAAACCAAAACAAAGTCAGAAAACATTTCCTCAGACAGTCTCTAACCACATTCTTTAGTCAACTCCAGAGCAGGAACTTCTTAGAAACCAAGCAAGTTCTGCCACAAGATGCTGAAATCCCGCAAGTGAGCGAGACACACAGGGGAAGTGGTCCGACCGATGCCCTTACTCTCCGCATCTGGTCCAGCGCAGTGAGCATCTGTTCCAGCTGCTGCATCTTCTGCCTGGTCACTGACTGGTTGTTTCCATTCAGATCTTGCATGTCTGCGGAGGAAGGAGAAACTCCTTGACCTGAGGGAATAATCCTGTCCTTAATGACCAGGCTCCTTTGAGCACCCGTAACTCCCTTGCGCCCCGACCGCCTTAAGATCTAAGAGTTAAGACAAATGACTCTTTCAACTCAACAACACAAACTCACTTTCTAGAGATTTTAACGTCTCTAATATTCACTTGCCTCCTTGACTCTTGAGGGTTTTATAGTTGAAATCAAAGTCATCCTGGAGATTCTCTACCACTTTCATTTTCTGTTCTAGATCCTGTTTAAAATAAGTAAACAAAAAAACAGAAGTAAAAAAAGATTTCCTTGGGAACAGAAAAAATAACGTATCGGAGGAGAATTCAAATGAAGCCAAAACCTCAAAAAAGATACATGGAGGACTTGCAGGCAGTATCCCCAAGAGAAGGCTCCCTGGTGGCCAGGCGCAGTGGCTCACGCCTGTAATCCTAGCACTTTGAGAGACTGAGTTGGGAGGATCACTTGAGCCCAGGAGTTTGAGATCAGCCTGGGCAACACAGGGAGACCCCCATCTCTACAAAATTTTGTTTTAAATTAGCTGGGCGTGGTGGTGCACGCCTGCGGTCCTGGTTACTTGGGAGGATGAGGTAAGAGAACTGCTTGGGCCTGAGAGGTCAAGGCTGCAGTGAGCTGTGATCATGCCACTGCAGCCCAGCCTGAGCAGCAAAGCAAGACCTTGTCTCAAAAAAAAAAAAAAAAAAAATTAATAAAAGCTCCCTGCCCAAGGCTTGTAACTTGCATCACCTGTACTCTCTTCCGGACATCCTGAAGGTGCTGCTCCAGCATCTGCTGCTTCTCCGTCACCACAGCTGCTGTGGGGTGGTTGGCCTGGCCCCCTTGCTGCCAAAAAGGAGGTCAATGCACATGTGAACACAGAAATATGGGGAGAGGAATACCCCATATTTGGCTTGAGATGCCGCTGCCATCATGAGAGGAAGGGAAACAGAGGCAGTGGTGCTGTCACTATACAGGTGACACTACATAGGTCATACCATAAACCCCCTCTATGAACTGCACTAGGAGACCACATGTTCAGCTAAGATATGGTCTATGCCTTCGAAAAGCTTATGGGCAAGCATGTCAAAAAATTCACAACAATTTATGACAGCAGATGTTGGATGTCTACTTAAACGTGGTGTCCAGTATATTTCTGAGGTATAATAAAAAAAAGTCCTGCCCTAGGGATGAAATTCCATATCAAAAGATATCTCAGGGAGAAGGGGAGGCTGGTACCTTGGAAAAGGTCAAATAGCACACGGAAAAAGAAAAAGAAGAAAGAAGGCCAGATGTAGCAGCTCATACCTATAATCTCAGCACTTGGGAAGGCTGAAGTGGGAGGACTGTTTGAGGCCAGGAATTCAAAACTAGCCTAGTCAACATAGTAAGGCCCCATCTCGAATGAATGAATGAATTAATTAATTAAAGAAATAAAAAAAAAATAGCATATGAAACTTAAAAATTACAGGTTTGTGGCCGGGCGCGGTGGCTCACGCCTGTAATCCCTGAACTTTGGGAGGCCGAGGCGGGCGGATCACGAGGTCAGGGGATCAAGACCATCCTGGCTAACACGGTGAAACCCCATCTCTACTAAAAATACAAAAAAATTAGCCGGGCGAGGTGGCGGGCGCCTGTAGTCCCAACTACTGCGGAGGCTGAGGCAGGAGAATGGCGTGAACCTGGGAGGCGGAGCTTGCAGTGAGCCGAGATCGGCCACCGCACTCCAGCCTGGGCAACAGAGTGAGACTCCGCCTCAAAAAAAAAAAAAAAAAAAATTACAGGTTTGTGCCCGGTGCAGTGGCTCATGCCTGTAATCCCAGCACTTTGGGAGGCCAAGGCGGGCGGATTACCTGAGGTTTGGAGTTTGAGACCAGCCTGACCAACATGGAGAAACCCCGTCTCTACTAAAAATACAAAGTTAGCTGAGCGTGGTGGCGCGTGCCTGTAATCCCAGCTACTCGGGAGGCTGAGGCAGGAGAATCGCTTGAACCTGGGAGGTGGAAGTTGTGTTGAGCCAAGACTGCGCCACTGCACTCCAGCCTGGGCAACAAGAGTGAAACTCCATCTCAAAAAAAAAAAAAAATTACAGGTTTGGGCTGGGCATGGTGGCTCCCACCTATAATCCCAGCACTTTGGGAACCAAGGCAGGAGGATCACTTGAGGCTGGGAGTTTGAGATCAGCCCAGGGAACATAGAGAGAGACCCCATCTCAATCAAAAAAAAAAAAAAAAAATTTTTTTAAATTAGCTGGGCGTGGTGGCATATACGTACTAGCTACTTGGGAGGCTGAGGTGGGAGGATCACTTACGTCCAGAAGTTTGAGGCTGCACTAGAGCCAGTTTTATGGGCAACCATTCTCTTCCTTTCCCATGGTCCCTATCCAAGCCCATAGAATACAAACTTCTTAGAAGTTTTGGGAAGGTGACCCATGCCCCTACCCCTACTACTTCCCACAGTGACAGTGACTCACCTGATTGGTAAGATGGAGAGAAAGACTCTGTGCACACACAGATCTTCAAAGAACCCAGCACCAAGCTGGTGCCTCCCTCCTCTCACTCTTGCCTTACTAGGGCCCACCACAAGCAAGAGCAGCAGCCTGGTTGCTAGAAGCAGGTCTAGAGGCCTATCCCTCTGCCTTCAGTGAGTATTGGTCTATGGCGGCTGTAGCTCCATATGGATGGCTGGGGTGGCGTGAGGGTGCTGCTCTGCACACCCAGGCTCTCCCCACACCAAGATCTAACTCAGGGCACAGGCATCGGAAAGCCCCTATGGTTACCAGCTCAAGCCACACTTTCCATTCTAGTTTTACCTATACAGCTGATGTTTTAATCTTCATTCCACTCCCATGTCTATTTCTCAAGTAGGACTACACTTAAAGGGGGAAAACATGTGATTAATGATCACCCACAGAAACCCACCTCTAATACCTTTATAAAAAACTTCACTGGCTCCCCACTGCTTCCAGCTGTAAACATCTCAGGCCAACACAGAAAGCTGTTTCACACAATTGATAACTTAAACTTTCCCTCCCTGTGCTTCGGTCGCCCCAAACTCCCCACTCTTTCCTGCATGCAATGTGTTTCCACACTCCCTCCCCACCCGCTATCCACTCAGCCTGGCCTGGGCTTTAGCCCAAACACACCTGAACTCACTCACCTTCAAATTCAGTTCAAATGTTTCCCTTCCTGCAAAATCTTATTCAACTTCCTTAGACAAAATGACACACATCCTCTTCTGAGTTTTTCTCACTTTGAGTGTTTGTGTACTTATAATCCCGACTAGCCTGACAGCCCCTGGTAGCAGGGTACATCCATTCTTCTATCTTTAACCCATTCTAGACACTTAAGAGCATGCCAGATATCATAAACAGAAAAAATAGCAGTGAGGCCTGGGTTGAGGCCACAAATATCCAACTTACAGCTTCATATCAGGGGTTGCAAACTTTTTCTCTAAGGGACAGAAGGTAAATATTTTTGGCTTCCTGGGTCATATAGTCCCTGCCACAAATAGCCCTGCCACTGCAGCACAAAAGCAGCCACAGATAATGCATAAATAACCGAGTGTGGCTGGGTTCCGAAAAAACCTCATTTACAAAACAGCAGCAGGCTGGATTTGGGCCACGGTCACAGTTTGCAGACCCCTAATCCATCCAATTGAAAACATCCTTGGGATACCTTTGGCTTTCCTACCTCCCATGGTAAGTTGGAGTCTCTATCCAAATTGACTTAAACCACATATTTTTATATTGTGGAGCAGGATAAAATACAAAGGTTTTCCGTAACAGAAAATCCTAGTGCTGCCTGGGCAAGTGCCTGTGTGCTAACCTCTTGGGCTAAAGGGCACTGCACAGTAAATGTTATCTACCACCTCACTCACACCTGAGCATATCAGTTTTCTGCTTAAAATTCCTCACTGGGGCCAGGCACAGTGGCTCATGCCTGTGATCCCAGCACTTTGGGAGGCCGAGGTGGACGGATCACCTGAGGTCAGGAGTTCGAGACCAGCCTGGTCAACATGGTGAAACCCCATCTCTACCAAAAATACAAAACATTCTTCACTGGGTCCCCATTTCCTACAGTAATGGTGAGGGTGATGATAGTGATATCAGCAGCAGCAGAAAGCAGTTAAATTGTTTTGCATTTATGTGTCAGATACTGTTCTAAGCATTTTACATGTATGAATTCTTTTTTTTTTTTTGAGACGGAGTCTTGCTCTGTAGCCCGGGCTGGAGTGCAGTGGCCGGATCTCAGCTCACTGCAAGCTCCGCCTCCCGGGTTTACGCCATTCTCCCGCCTCAGCCTCCGGAGTAGCTGGGACTACAGGCGCCCGCCACCTCGCCCGGCTAGTTTTTTGTATTTTTAGTAGAGACGGGGTTTCACGGTGTTAGCCAGGATGGTCTCGATCTCCTGACCTCGTGATCCGCCCGTCTCGGCCTCCCAAAGTGCTGGGATTACAGGCTTGAGCCACCGCGCCCGGCCACATGTATGAATTCTATGAAGAAGGTATAATTATCACTCCCACTGGAGGAACAGAGAGAGTAAAAATTGTTACAGAGCAAGTGGCAGGGCTGTGGGTTCATATCAAAGCAGTTGGCTCCTTGTGGTAAACTGCTCTTCCAGAGCCCCATTGCTTGGCATGACTAATTAAAACATCATCACGTGGCCTTGACTAACTCATCTTCCCGACCCAATCAGATGCCGAACTTTCTATACTTCTCCCAAGAATACATGTTTCTGTTTCTGTCTTTGAACATGATCTTCTTTCTGCCTGGAGAGCTCTCTCTCATCAGTTGATGAGCCCAGGAGTTCAACACCAGCCTGGGAAACACAGCAAGAGCCCACCTCTACCAAAAAAAAAAATTAGTTGGGCATGGTGGCATATGCCTGTAGTCCCAGCTACTCATAAGGCTGAGGCAGGAGGCAGGAGGATCACAAGGGTCCAGGTGGTTGAGGCTGCAGTGAGCTGTGATCACACCGCTGCACTACAGCCTGGGTGACAGAGTGAGACTGTCTCAAAAAACAAAAGGTTACAATGGTAAATTTGAAATGTAATGTTATGTGTATTTCACCACAATTTTTTAAAAAGCAGGGGGTCAGGGAGAAAAAGAAAAAATGTCCCTGATTATAGGATATTAAAGAAAGTAAAACCCTTCACAGAAAGTAAAAAAGTCTCCTATGACCAACTACTTTAATGCTTTAGTATATATGTTTCCAGATATTTTCCCATATATACCAATAGTATATGCAAATTGCATACATTTCATTTTACTATTATGAATCAGATCTTTGCTTTCTTTTTTTTTTTTTTTTTTCAGACAGTCTTGCTCTGTCGCCCAGGCTGGAGTGCAGTGGCACAATCTCAGCTCACTGCAACCTCTGCCTCCCAGGTTCAAGCGATTCTCCTGCCTCAGCTTCCTGAGTAGCTGGGACTACAGGCGCGTACCACCATGCCCAGCTAATTTTTGTATTTTTAGTAGAGATGGGGTTTCACCATGTCGGCCAGGATGGTCTCAATCTCTTGACCTCGTGGATCCACCCACCATGGCCTCCCAAAGTGCTGGGATTACAGGTGTGAGACACCATTGCCTGGCCCAGATCTTTACTTTCATTACATCTTCTAATAGGTTACTAATGCCACTGTATACAGGAACTGCAGATTCTGAAAATATTTATCTCGTATACAATGGCCTTTCTAAACCTTGCTAGTTCTAATTGTTATTGTTAGTTTTGTTTCTCTTGGATCTTCTAGGAAGACCTGTCTATCTGTAAATAATAAGAATTCTGTCCCTTGCTTTCCAATATTTGTACCCTCATTTCTTTTTTTTTTTTTTTTGGGATAGGCTGGATCCTTCAGAAAAGTATCAAGAGTAAAAGACATCCTTATCTTTTGCAGTTTTACTGAGAATAGTGTTTCACTACTGTGCATCATGCTTAATTAAGCCAGGCGTGGTGGCTCACACCTGTAATCCCAGCACTTTGGGAGGCCGCAGCAGATGGATCATGAGGTCAGGAGATCAAGACCATCCTGCCTAACAAGGTGAAACTTCGTCTCTACTAAAAAAAATACAAAAAATTAGCCAGGCGTGGTGGCACACACCTGTAGTCCAGCTACTCGGGAGGCTGAGGCAAGAGAATCAACTTGAACCTGGGAGGTGGAGGTTGCAGTGAGCCAAGATGGCACCACCGCACTCCAGCCTGGGCGACAGAGCAAGACTCTGTCTCAAAAAAAAAAAGAAAAAAATAGAGATGAGTTCTCGCTATGTTGCCCCAGCTGGTCTTGAACTTCTGAGGCTCAGCAATCTGCCTGTCTCAGCCTCCCAAAGTGCTGGGATTACAGGTGTGAGCCACTACTCCTGGCTGTTTTTTAGGTTTTGATATGAGGATTTTTCCAGCCTCATAAAATAAGCTGGAAACATCTCTTGTTTTCCTATACTTTGGAAAAGTTTGAATGATATTGGAATAATCTGTACTATGAAAGTTTGTCAAAACAGGCCGGGCACAGTGGCTCACGCCTGTAATCTCAGCACTTTGGGAGGCCGAGGTGGGCGGATCACCTGAGGTCGGGAGGTCTCCAACATGGAGAAACCCCGTCTCTACTAAAAATACAAAATTAGCCAGGTGTGGTGGCGCATGCCTATAATCCCAGCTACTCGGGAGACTGAGGCAGGAGAATCACTTGAACCCTGGAGGTGGAGAGCCGAGATCGCGCCATTGCACTCTAGCCTGGGTAACAGGAGCAAAACTCCGTCTCAAAAAAAAAAAAAAAAAAAAAAAAGTTTGTCAAACCATTAGGTCTGTTGGATTCTTTTGGTGGAACTTTCTTTTTTTAGAGTTTTTTCAATGTATTTTGGGGGGTGGAACTTTCTTTTTTTTAAGAGTTTTTCGATGTATTTTTATGATTATTGATCTATTTAATTTATTTTCTTTCTTTTTTAGTAGATCTAATAATTTATCTCATTATAAAGTTGTTTGATTTTCCATTCCTCCCAGACCAGGGATTTGTTTTGTCTCAGGTCTCACCTGGGCCGCAGTGGCTGCAGTCTGTAGGAGGCGTGACTCTTCCCACAGGCACCGGGCCACAATCCGGGCAATCTCCATTGGCTTCTCAAGATACCTGCTCTGTAAGTAGGAGAGAAAGAGAATGAAAATCAGTAGCAGACCATGGAGATGTGGACTGAACTGCGGCACCTTAAAACTAATGTATTCATCAAGGAAAGCATTTACTCTAGGAAAGAACAGAACAAAGGCTTCAGAGCCTGGGTGAAGGCTCTCTGTGGGTGGGCAAAGGGGAGGTCGTTACTATTTCTGTAACAGAAGGCACACTAGCCTGAGTCTTTTTTTTTTTTGAGACTGGGTCTCACTCTGTCCACCAGGCTGGAGTGCAGTGGCGCAATCACAGCTTACTGCAGCTTCGACCTCCCAGGCTCAAGTGATTTTCTCACCTCAGCCTTCTGAGTAGTAAAGACTACAGGTACATGCCACCACAACTGGCTAGTTTTTGAAAAAAAAATTCTGTAGAGATGGTGTCTCGTTATGCTGCCCAGGCTGGTCTCAAACTCCCGGGCTCAAGCAATCCTCCCACCTCAACCTCCTAAGGTGTTGGGATTACAGGCGTGAGCCACCATGCCTGGCCTTGTCTGAGTCTTTACACAGTATGCTATCCTGCTCTTGCAGGGAAGCAACTGACTTATTCAAGAAGTATCCCATTACGGTCAAACCTTTAACATGTAACAGTGAGAGTCATCTTCCTATCAGTGGACCCGGTTAACATGCTAACATGTATGATTAATGTAACAATCACTTTATGATCAGGCATGGTAGCTCATGCCTGTAATTCCAGCACTTTGGGAGGCCGAGGCGGGTGGATCACGAGATCAGGAGATCGAGATCATCCTGGCTAACATGATGAAACCCCGTCTCTACTAAAAATACAAAAAATTAACCAGGCATGGTGGCGGGCGCCTGTAGTCCCAGCTACTTGGGAGGCTGAAGCAGGAGAATAGCGTGAACCCGGGAGGTGGAGCTGGCGGTGAGCCGAGATCATGCCACTGCACTCCAGCCTGGGCGACAGAGCGAGACTCCATCTCAAAAAAAAAAAAAACAAAACAATCACTTTATTACTTCAACTATGACAAGAGAAGTGATTCTTAGGTAATGATGCTCACGGGTAAGTATACAGAGCTTTGAGAAAGGACTAATTACTTCTCCTGTAATTGAAAATACAAGATAAGATTCTCGTTATTTAGCCAAATGAGAAAAGAAATGCTTCCAGGAAAGAACGCTAACACCCGACTCTACGGGTCCTGTTTCTCCTTGTCCTCAGTTTCTCATCATACCTGAAGAAACTGCTTGATTCTTCGTAGATTGTGCTGATAGAGAACATTCGATTCTTGCAGGAAGCGGCTATACTGCTGGTCAATCTCGCCCAGGAGATTATGAAACACCAAAGTGGCATGTGATTCTTTGCTGGCCGCATATGCCCTAGGAAAAGGAAGAATGATAAAGAATGGCTCTGAAGCCGACACATACACACAAACACAGAAATCACCATCAAGAAAGAGGAAAAAAAAAAATAAAGCAAACCTGACGCTATAACCCATTCATCATTTTAGATTCTTCTTGCTCAGCAATCAAATGCCATCAATTTAATAATTATTAATAATTATTTCAGGCCAGGCACGGTGGCTCACGCCTGTAATCCCAACACTTTGGGAGGCCGAGGGGGGCAGATCACCTGAGGTCAGGAGTTCCAGACCAAACAAGCCAACATGGTGAAACCCTGTCTCTACTAAAAATCAAAAATTAGCTGGGTGTGGTGGTGAGCACCTGTAATCCCAGCTACTCGGGAGGCTGAGGCAGGAGAATCGCTTGAACCCGAGTCAGAGGTTGCAGTGAGCTGAAATTGTGCCACTGCACTCCTGCCTAGGCTAGAGCCAGACTCTGTTTCAAAAAAAAAAAACAAAAACCCACAACAAAACAAAAAAACAATTATCCCAGATATTATTATCCACTCTCATAATCTGTATTTGTAAAATACTTGAGCAAAGTAGACAGCTATGCTGTTTTGCTTTAAACTCTCAATTAACTCTGGTCAGATTTATTAGTACAAATAAGTAATCCCAGGCTGGGATGGCCTATCTCCAGCATCTGGGAATCACCTCCTGGCCCTTCACCAAATCAGGATATGCATTCTGGAAAAACCAGGTCATATTAACACTGGCCTGAATTAAACCAAAATCAGTAGGTGAGCCTGAGCATATTAAAGTGAAGGAAATAAATAGTTGCTGGACTTCTGTGCCATTATCTCCTCTATGAATGGAATCCATTTCCCTTATCCTGTGATCTAGTTTGGATACATCCCTGCCCGAATCTCATACTGAAATGTAACCCCCACTGTTGGAGGTGGGGCCTGGTGGAGGGTGACTGGATCATGGGGGTGGGATTCTCATGAATGGTTTAGCACCATCCCTGTTGATACTGTCCTCGAGACAGTGAGTTCTTGTGCGATCTGATCGTTTAAAAATGTGTGGCGCCTCCCCCTTGCTCTCTTGCTCTTGCTCTGGCCATGTGACCTGCCTGCTCCCACTCTGCCTTCCGCCATGATTGGAAGCTTGCTGAGGCCTCCCTGGCGGTGGATGCTGCTATGCTTCCTATACAGCCTGCAGAACTATGAGCCAATTAAACCTCTTTTCTTATAAATTACCCAATCTCAGGTATTTCTTTACAGCAAGCTGAGAACAGACTAATACACCCCTGTGGCTCCTTCCTTTAACTAAAGGGGAATTACAAGTATCAACCCAAAGTTCTAGCTATGACAGAACTCACATTCAAAGAAAAAATATGTCTACCACATCGCTGGATTATCAGAATATACAGAGGATCTGCCCAAGTAAATGAGGTCCAAATCAACCTTCAAGACATCTACCACCATACAGGCAGTTTCAATGTGTCAAAGACAGTTGCCCACATGCCCTTCTAATATAAAAAATGCTTTACAAGACCAAAGGGTGCCACTTTATCTCCTGATCTCATTTTCCCCATCACCTGTACCCGTAAATTTTTTAATTAAACAGCAAAGCATGACATTAAGAGTTCATGTCTCTTGACTCAAACTGAAACCTAACAATTTGGAGAGTCTCTTAAGGACTTACCAATCTTGACTCTCAATCCAAGGGGCCAGAAACTGCCGCAACTCCATTGGGAAGCTGTCACTGTAGAGCTGATGGAGCTGCTCCAGGTACCGTGTGTCAAGCTGCTGTAGCTGATTCCATTGGGCCATCCTGCTAAAATCAGGGGTCCCAACTGTAAACCAAAGTGTGCATATGGTCACCACAAGTCCCAGTAGGGGTAAATAATCTAGAAGTAGCCATTGCCCAACACAGGTGTCAGGTCTGTGACTAGGGATAAAGATGTTCTGGGGAGGACCCTGCTTCTTTCTCCCAGTTTATTTTTAAAAAATAGAGATGGGGTCTTCACCATGTTGCCCAGGCTGGCCTTGAACTCCTGGACTCAAGTGATCTCCCACCTCAGCCTCCCAAAGTGCTGAGATTACAGGCATGAGCCAACACACCCAGCCTGTTTCTCCCAGTTTAGAACAATACAAACACATTCACAATCTCCATCTTGGGATAATCACAGCTTTTTTTTTCTCTTATTTTTTAAAGACAGAGTCTTGCTCTGTGGCCCAGGCTAGAGTGCAATGGCATGATCGTGGGCTCAAGAGATCCTCCCACCTCAGCATCCCGAGGAGCTGGGACTATAGGCACATACCACCATGCCACACTCGTTTTTTACAACATGTTTTGTGAGACAAACAAAACATGCCCAGGCTGGTCTTGAACTCCTGGGCTCAAGTCATCCTCCTGCCTCGGCTTCCCAAAGTGCTGGGATTACATATGTGAGCCACCGCATCTGGCCACACATTTCTTTTTTTTTTTGAGACAGAGTCTCGCTCTGTCGCCCGGGTTGGAGTGCGCGTGGCTGGATCTCAGCTCACTGCAAGCTCCGCCTCCCAGGTTCGCACCATTCTCCTGCCTCAGCCTCCGGGTAGCTGGGACTACAGTTGCCCGCCACCACGCCCGGCTAGTTTTTTGTATTTTTTTAGTAGGGGTTTCACTGTGTTAGCCAGGATGGTCTCGATCTCCTGACCTTGTGATCCGCCCGTCTCAGCCTCCCAAAGTGCTGGGATTACAGGCTTGAGCCACTGCGCCCGGCCCACCACACATCTCTTTTACACTGGGATGACAAGTGGCTATTATGCCAGGTTCTATAATCCATTATCTACCAGAGGTGTGTGAAATTTAAAAATTACTAAACTCCCAGATTTCTATTCCCTTATCTATAAAATAGAGATAATATTTCCCACTCCTCAGGGGTATTGAGATATTCCTACAGCATCCAGCTCAGTGCACGGCACACAACAGATGCCCAACAAATGTCAGTTCCTTTCTTTCTACTCCACAGCCCTTTTAGTTATACACAGTAAACCTGTACTGTGGCCAAAATGTAGAAAGTGGATGTTTGGGGTGGGGGGACAGAGAGCTAATTCCAGGACTACAGGTTTAAAAGTATAAATGAGGATCTAGGAAGATCTGCCTGAGATTCTCCTACTCAACAAACAGTAACTATTTAAAAAATTGCTTAGTCTGGGATAACAGAGAAGGAAAGAAAAATGCCAGGCATAAAAATTGTCCCAGGTTCAGGAACACCCCAGTGAAATGCTCTGGTATGAGAAACCCAGCCAGCTAATCACCTATAATCCTCTTTCTGAATAGTATGGGTCATGGAAATATCAATAGAGGCCAAGTCATTTTAAGAAGTTCTAAAATTAGGCCAGGGGCAGTGGCTTAAGCCTGTAATCCCAGCACTTTGGGAGGCCGAGGCAGGCAGATCACCTAAGGTCGGGAGTTCGAGACCAGCCTGACCAACTCGGAGAAACCCTGTCTCTACTAAAAATACAAAATTAGCTGGGCATGGTGGCACATGCCTGTAATCACAGTTACTCCAGAGGCTGAGGCAGGAGAATTGCTTGAACCCGGGAGGCGGAGATTGAGGTGAGCTGAGATCGCACCACTGCATTCCAGCCTGGGCAACAAGAGCAAAACTCTGTCTCAAAAAAAAAGAAAAAAAAATTGTTCTAAAAATAATTACAAGTCAGAGCCTAAGATGAAGGTATATACAGACCAAGGTCCAATGAGATGGTTCTCTGGGATAGTGAGAACATTTAATGAGAGACTGAACACACGCAAACACACTAGAGTTCTTGACTCTCAGAGAAGGCACGAAGAAGTACCTAGTTAGCACTGGCTCTTTCATAAAAATGACTGAGCAAACTGGCAACAAAACCAACAGGTCTTCTGTTCTCAAGGCAGCAAATGTAATGGAATGAAAGGTGCAATCATGGAACCTCTAACTCCTGCAACCTCTAACTCCTGGGCTCAGGCAATCCTCCTACCTCAGCCTCCCAAGAAGCTGGGAGTCTCGCTACGTTGCCCAGACTGGTCTCGAACTCCTGGGCTTAAGCAATCCTCCTGCCTCGACCTCCCAAAGTGCTGGGATTACAGGCGTGAGCCACCACGCCTGGCTTGGGATCAGGTTTTTGTTTTTTTGTTTTTTTGTTTTTTGAGACAGTGTCTGTCACCCAGGCTGGAGGGCAGTGGGGCCCAGGCTGGAGGGCAGTGGCGGGATCTCGGCTCACTGCAAGCTCCGCCTCCCGGGTTCCCGCCATTCTCCTACCTCAGCCTCCTGAGTAGCTGGGACTACAGGCGCCCGCCACCTCGCCCGATTAAGTTTTTGTATTTTTTTTAGTAGAGACGGGGTTTCACCATGTTAGCCTGGATGGTCTTGATCTCCTGACCTCGTGATCTGCCCCCCTCAGCCTCCCAAAGTGCTGGGATTACAGGCATGAGCCACCGCGCCCAGCCTGGGATCAGGTTTTCTAACAGAACCTGAGAGGGCTGAACTTCTCCCTCCCTCTTTGGTGGACAGACTCAAAATACCCCTTTTGCTACTGTGAAGACGGCTGGTGGAGCTCTCAAGCACATATTCAGGGAAGTGCAGGAAGTACCTACCAGCAGTCTTTACACTGAATAATTAATAATCTAAGGCAGCAGCATCCAACAGAAATAGAAGACAAGCCACATATGCATTTTAAATTTTCTGGTAGCCATATTTAAAAAGTTAAAAGAAACAGGTGAAATTAATTTTAATAATGTATTTTATTTCGTTTAATATATCCAAAATGTTATTTCAACATATGATCATACAAAACTTATTATTATTATTATTATTTTTTGGAGACAGGCACTCTGTCACCCAGGCCGGAGTGCAGTGGCTCAATCACAGCTCACTGTAGCCTCAACTTCCCGGCTCAAACGATCCTCCCACTTCAGCGTCTCAAGTAACTGGGACTACAGATGCACACCACATCTGGTTAATTATTTTTGTAGATACGGGGGTCCCATTATGTTGCCTAGGCTGGTCTCGAACTCCTAGACTCATGTATCTCAGCTTCCCAATGTGCTGAGAGTATAGGCTTGAGCCACCGTGTCCAGCCCACAAAAATTATTGAGATACTTTACACTCTTTTTGCTACGAAGTTTTCTAAATCTCCTGTGTACTTTACATGTGCAGCACGGATCCAAGGTATTTTCCCTCCTCATGTATCAAGGGCTTAAATTCCACTGGCGAAAAAACTCAGTAAAGCAAAAAAAAAACAAAAAATAGAATGTCAGAATAAGGTATTTGCCCCAATTAGGCCAATATGCTTCTATAAATTAACTAAATATTCCAACAATGTTACTTTTTTTTTTTTTTGAGATGGAGTCTCACTCTGTTGCCTAGGCTGGAGTGCAGTGGTGCAATCTCAACTCACTGCAACCCCCATCTCCCTAGTTCAAGCAATTGTCCTGCCTCAGCCTCCCAAGTAGCTGGGATTATAGGCATGCACCACCACACCCTGCTAATTTTTTAAATATTTTTAGTAGAGACAGGGTTTCACCATGTTGCCTAGGCTGGTCTCGAATTGATAAGAGTTCAGAACTCTTATCAGTTCAAGACCAGTCTGGCCAAAACAGTGAGACCCTGCTTATAATTAATTAATTTTAAAATGTAGGCCGGGCACAGTGGCTCACACCTGTAATCCCAGAACTTTGGGAGGCTGAGGTGGGTAGATCACGAGGTCAGGAGTTCAAGACCAGCCTGGCCAACATAGTGAAACCCCATCTCTACTAAAAATATAAAAATTAGCCGGGCATGGTGGTGGCCGCCTGTAATCCCAGCTGCTCAGAAGGCTGAGGCAGGAGAATCACTTGAACCTGGGAGGTGGAGGTTGTAGTGAGCCAAGATTGTACCACTGCACTCTAGCCCAGGCAACAGAGCGACACTCCATCTCAAAAAATAATAATAATTTTAAAAGCAATATTACTTGCCATCTTCCACCCTAAGATTCACCTGCCACAGGACAAATGCTACCTGGGCAGTGGTACAGGTACACTAAGCACTAGCTGGAGTAAAAGCAGTGGCTGACGTGCACGCTATATGCTGAAGCATTGTAACCGTGGCATGTACTGATTGCCCTCTGTAAAAAAATCAAAGGCCATTAGATCTCTCTTACAATATTTGCATTAGGGCCAAGTTAAAATCTGCCTCACATGGAGGTTGCAGTGAGCCAAGACTGCGCCTCTGCACTCCAGCCCGGGTGACAGAGCGAGACTTTGTCTCAAAAAAAAAAAATCTGCCTCATAGACTAAAAGCATCATGAACTGACTTATGCTATACAAGAACTGATGTGCATACAAAGAAATCTGCATAATACGCCAATTTATGAAGATTCTATTGCATACAAATTTACTGAAACCTGAAACTCTAAACCTACAGAGTCCAGTATGGAGTCACTAGCCACATGTAGTTACTGAGCACTTGAAATGTGGCTGCTTCAAACTGAAATATGCTATCAATATAAAATACACACTGGATTCTGAGGATGTACTGAAAAACAAAAGAATGTAAAGTATCTTGTTCGTGTTGAAATGATAATATTTTAGATATACTGCGTTAAATAAAATATATTATTAAAATTAACTTCACTGATTTCTTTTTATTTCTTTTAATGTGGCTACTAGAAAACTTAACATTAGGCCGGGTGCGGTGGCTCAAGCCTGTAATCCCAGCACTTTGGGAGGCGGAGATGGGTGGATCACGAGGTCAGGAGATCGAGACCATCCTGGCTAACACGGTGAAACCCCGTCTCTACTAAGAAATACAAAAAACTAGCCGGGCGCGG